GCATACAGTCTGAGTTAGTCATTTGCATACAGTCTGAGTTAGTCATTTGCATACAGTCTGAGTTACAGTCATTTGCATACAGTCTGAGTTACAGTCATTTGCATACAGCCCGAGAGAGTCATTTGCATACAGCCCGAGTTAGTCATTTGCATACAGCCCGAGTTAGTCATTTGCATACAGCCCGAGTTAGTCATTTGCATACAGTCTGAGTTACAGTCATTTGCATACAGCCCGAGAGAGTCATTTGCATACAGCCCGAGTTAGTCATTTGCATACAGCCTGAGAGTCATTTGCATACAGCCCGAGAGAGTCATTTGCATACAGCCCGAGAGAGTCATTTGCATACAGCCCGAGTTAGTCATTTGCATACAGCCCGAGTTAGTCATTTGCATACAGTCCGAGTTAGTCATTTGCATACAGTCTGAGTTATAGTCATTTGCATACAGTCTGAGTTATAGTCATTTGCATACAGTCTGAGTTATAGTCATTTGCATACAGTCTGAGTTATAGTCATTTGCATACAGCCCGAGAGAGTCATTTGCATACAGCCAGAAAGTCATTTGCATACAGCCGGAGTTAGTCATTTGCATACAGTCTGAGTTACAGTCATTTGCATACAGTCTGAGTTACAGTCATTTGCATACAGTCTGAGTTACAGTCATTTGCATAGTCTGAGTTACAGTCATTTGCATACATATATTTTTTGTCTTTTTTGCACAATTGATATTCACTTGTCCTAGAGAAGGGCAATACACATGTTGGCATGGGTTGTTTTATCTACAAACTAAAGGTAAGTATGTTAAACCCTCTTATCACATGACCTTCAGACTGTCAAAACAACATGTTTTCATTTTCTTTGCAAATTGAGAGAATTGCACTTATAGGTGAAAAACAATTGTACAGCCATAGGTGACACTTAAAGATATCAATCTAGTGTACATACAAGGTTGCACACAAATAATCATTCCTGACAACATAAATGACTATTTCAATTCCCCTGGTAATAATGGTATAGCCTATTTAACATACCAAAGGTCAAAGGTGAAAACAGACCCTGGATGGTACTGGGTAATAGTTTATAATAAACAACTGTGACCATATTGCATCTACATGTACAAACGTAGTCTTTTCACAAAGTGATTGAAAGTCAGCATGTAAAGTAAATTGTTAAATTTTTATCAATGCTAATTGTTTGCTATTCTAAAGCGCTGAAGTCGTCACTCTCAATTGTGTGTGATATACATGTAGGTTTCATGCAATACATGCTGTCTGTATAAATGACATTCAAAT